ATTCAGCCCTTCACCCTTGCAATCTGTATTTAGCCCCCATTGCTTTAAAAACGTATCTTCAGTGTGAAATGCAATAACATGTATGGGTACAGCAACAACCTAACGCATTAGTAACACCAAACACACGAAAAATATTCTGGGATGTTTACTTTTGGTCCAGGTCATCATGCTGCACGCTAGCATGCTCCAAGCTAGCATGCTAACTAGCAAACTACCTGCGCTAACGCTAACTAGCTTAACAAAAAGGACCGTCTTTCCCGTATCGGGTGGGCAGCACAAGTAAAACACCCGGTTATAGTTCCATGTGTGCTTCATTCAAACACTCCCGTACTTACAGAGCAGTGGAGCCGGTAGTCGTGGTTCTATCAGCCCGTTCATGTCGCTCTGCTGCCGTAACTTCGCCTCGTGCTGCGTCCGCTCGGAGCTCTGCAGGCGTCTAAGAACTCGCGCATGCGCGTTACAAATGTGAGCGGAGTTACGTGTTTACAAGTAATGTTTGAACCTGCCCGCATTATTATGTCTTAAACGCATCTTATTAACAGCACGCAGTCCGTAGTTTCATATTTATGACGTTTTAAGTGAAATATTAAATACGTTGAAATCACGTCTTCGCGTAGACCAAATTTCGCCGACCAGTTCATTAATTATTAGAAAATCTTAACGTTAATATCGTCTATCTTTCAACCTTACGTTACAACATGACACATTTATCAACAAATTGACGTTTTCTGGCACGTTGATGTTTCATCCCATTTTTATCCGGTTGAAAAGACGTTGAAATGAGGTCTTAGACGTTCAGACCTCACTTCAACCCGATTTCAACCATATTTCAACGTTGAAATTACGTCTTGTGCTCACTGGGTTATTTGACGTCCACAATGACCCAGTGAGCATTTTTTGGTTGAAAAGACGTTTAAAAGACGTCTATGCCCGACGTTGAAAAGACGTTGCAAAATGGTTTAAAAGTGAAAGTTGTTTCAACGTCTATTCGTAGACGTTGAAAAGACGTCTATGTTTAGACCACATTTCAACGTGATTTTTTAATACGGTAATATTTCGTCTTCTCTTGTGTGCTATATCATTGTGATGTTTAAAAAGAAACTACGTCCACATTTGTAAGTTTCCCACCGATATTATAAATCACGTTGAAAACGGGTCTATACGCGAACGTCTTTTCAACGTCTACGAATAGACGTTGAAACAACTTTCACTTTTAAACCATTTTGCAACGTGTTTTCAACGTCGGGCCATAGACGTCTTTTAAACGTCTTTTCAACGTCGGGCCATAGACGTCTTTTAAACGTCTTTTCAACGTTGAAATGCTCGCTGGTTGAAATGTGGTCTAAACGTAAACGTCTTTTCAACGTCTATGAATAGACGTTGAAACAACTTTCACTTTTGAACCAATTTGCAACGTCTTTTCAACGTCGGGCCATAGACGTCTTTTCAACGTCTTTTCAACGTCGGGCCATAGACGTCTTTTCAACGTCGGGCCATAGACGTCTTTTCAACGTCGGGCCATAGACGTCTTTTCAACGTCGGGCCATAGACGTCTTTTAAACGTTGTTTCAACGGATAAATTGCTCGCTGGAAACTTACAAGTTACATACTTAGTCACAGCCCAGTGAGCACAAGACGTAATTTCAACGTTGAAATATGGTTGAAATCGGGTTGAAATGAGGTCTGAACGTCTAAGACCTCATTTCAACGTCTTTTCAACCGGCTAAAAATGGGATAAAACATCAACGTGCCAGAAAACATCAATTTGTTGACAAATGTGTCATGATGTAACGTAAGGTTGAAAGATAGACGATATTAACGTTAAGATTTTCATAATAATTAAGGAACTGGTCGGCGAAATTTGGTCTACGCGAAGACGTAATTTCAACGTATTTAATATTTCACTTAAAACGTTATAAATATGAAACTACGGACTGCGTGCTGTTAATAAGATGCGTTTAAGACATAATAATGCGGGCAGGTTCAAACATTACTTGTAAACACGTAACTCCGCTCACATCTGTAACGCGCATGCGCGAGTTCTTAGACGCCTGCAGAGCTCCGACCGGACGCAGCACGAAGCGAAGTTACGGCAGCAGAGCGACATGAACGGGCTGATAGAACCACGACTACCGGCTCCACTACTCTGTAAGTACGCGAGTGTTTGGATGAAGCACACCTGGAACTATAACCGGGTGTTTTACTTGTGCTGCCGACTCGATACGGGAAAGACGGCCCTTTTTGTTAAGCTAGTTAGCGTTAGCGCAGGTAGTTTGCTAGTTAGCATGCTAGCGTGCAGCATGATGACCTGGACCAAAAGTAAACATCCCAGAATATTTTTCGTGTGTTTGGTGTTACTAATGCGTTAGGTTGTTGCTGTACCCATAAATGGTATTGCATTTCACATTGAAAATACGTTTTTAAAGCAATGGGGGCTAAATACAGATTGCAAGGGTGAAGGGCTGAATTCAACAAGTTGTGGTCTGTAAACAAGAGGGACAACACATTGTAAGTTACTGCTGCTTAAAGCATGATACTGTGTAATATACCTGGAAATGTTACTCCAGAAATACCATAAGTTGCAGATGAATTGTTATCTTGTTGATAATGTAATAAGTAAACCATCTATAAATGAGGATTCTAACACACCTGCTGCTGCTGTTATTATTATTATTAGTTTATTACTGTCATCATAAACCCAAATGACCAACTTTGCCTTTGTGCTTCCCTCCTCACAGGTTTCTGCGGGTGGTGGTTGCATCTGATGGAGGTTACGTCTGATGATGGTTGTCCCTGCACTGGTCCTGCCTTACCCCTGGCTTAGTAATCCACAATATTAGAATCATTTCTGTCGTAGGAATTGGATGTACTGTACATCTTTAAATTGTTCATACTCTACACACCTTCGGCCTTGCTGTTTTCTCCTCAGGTTTCTCCCGGTTGAAGGTTTTTTACATTTTGGGGGTTTTGGGACAGGATGTTGCATGTTTACAGATTGCAAAGATGAACAAAATAAAATGATTTGAATTGAATAAACACGTTGACCAGAGAAATCTGCAATTCAGGGCTGTTCTCTGCACTCTGACTCCCTTTACACAAAGAATCATCAAGTGAGGATGAGGGAGATGCAGCTGATTTCAGGTATACTATCCCAACTCAAGTGACTCAGATCCACATCTTGTTACAGAATCTAAAAATGAAGTTCAAATGATTCAGAAAAATGGTCTACAAACACAGAATTGTTGTTATTGAACACAGAAATGTTGTTTCTGCACTTTTAAATCCATAGTTTATTTCCCTAAAATATATATTTTATTTTTGTATTGTTTTTAATTAGGAAAAGTGTTATATGTATAGTGTTATATTTATAATAAATGCAAATGAACAAAATAATGTGTTTGTCCTTGTTAAGGGCTGTTAACATGACAACTGTGACTAAGTATGTAACTTGTACGTTTCCAGCGAGCAATTTATCCGTTGAAACAACGTTTAAAAGACGTCTATGGCCCGACGTTGAAAAGACGTCTATGGCCCGACGTTGAAAAGACGTCTATGGCCCGACATTGAAAAGACGTTGCAAATTGGTTCAAAAGTGAAAGTTGTTTCAACGTCTATTCGTAGACGTTGAAAAGACGTTTACGTTTAGACCACATTTCAACCAGCGAGCATTTCAACGTTGAAAAGACGTTTAAAAGACGTCTATGGCCCGACGTTGAAAAGACGTCTATGGCCCGACGTTGAAAAGACGTTGCAAAATGGTTTAAACGTGAAAGTTGTTTCAACGTCTATTCGTAGACGTTGAAAAGACGTTCGCGTATAGACCCGTTTTCAACGTGATATATAATATCGGTGGTAAACTTACAAATGTGGACGTAGTTTCTTTTTAAACCTCTAAAATAATGATATAGCACACAAGAGAGGACGAAATATTACCGTATTAAAAAATCACGTTGAAATGTGGTCTAAACATAGACGTCTTTTCAACGTCTACGAATAGACGTTGAAACAACTTTCACTTTTAAACCATTTTGCAACGTGTTTTCAACGTCGGGCATAGACGTCTTTTAAACGTCTTTTCAACCAAAAAATGCTCACTGGGAGAACTCGCGCATGCGCGTTACAGATGTGAGCGGAGTCACGTGTTTACAAGTAATGTTTGAACCTGCCCGCATTATTATGCCTTAAACGCATCTTATTAACAGCACGCAGTCCGTAGTTTCATATTTATAACGTTTTAAGTGAAATATTAAATACGTTGAAATTACGTCTTCGCGTAGACCAAATTTCGCCGACCAGTTCATTAATTATTATGAAAATCTTAACGTTAATATCGTCTATCTTTCAACCTTACGTTACATCATGACACATTTGTCAACAAATTAACGTTTTCTGGCACGTTGATATTTTATCCCATTTTTAGCCGGTTGAAAAGACGTTGAAATGAGGTCTTAGACGTTCAGACCTCATTTCAACCCGATTTCAACCATATTTCAACGTTGAAATTACGTCTTGTGCTCACTGGGGAGGGTCGAGTTTAATAATCCGCGTTGAGACGTGTTCATCTGTTAATAAAATGTCGTTAAATTATGAGATTTGTATCGGTTTTCTCTTATAGCAGACTCCAGGCTCCAAGCAACAGGTGCATCTCGATGTAATGCCGCATTCACGGAACATGGGGAAACCTGGAGGTTTTGACAGCCGTAAATCAAACTCGTCAATTCCCAGCTTTCCCAACCTGAAAACTTGTTTTGGAAACACCCAATTTGTATTTAAAAATCAAAAGCGACCTTCCGTTTCGGAACATTATTCGGGCTTTCCGAGATTCAAAACTACTGAAGGCTTCGGGCAACGTTAATAACTTGTATCTACGATATCTTTGGAGTATAGGAACGCCTCACAAACCACGCCCCTCGCCATTTAGACTTTTAGTGCCCCGAGGTGTCATCGGCAAAGTTGGACTCTCAGGCCAGTTGTCAGGTCGACGGCCCTCCGTGGAGGTCTGTGCCCCCCCCCCTCTCCCGCCCCGTGTTCAGCTCTCGGTTTCACGTAGGACGACAGTCCGCATCTCCTCTGCTCAGTATGTCTCCGTCCACGTCCCCGCGGCTCCTTGCGGAGAAGGAGGTGGCCCGCCACTGCACCAAGGATTCCTGCTGGGTGCTGCTGGGGACCCGGGTCTACGACGTGACCTCTTTCCTGCGGATGCACCCGGGGGGTGAGGCGCTCCTACTTCGGCGGTCGGGCAAGGACGTCAGCCCGGAGATGGAGGGACCCCCGCACCGGCACTCGGAGAACGCGCGGCGGTGGATGGAGCAGTACTACATCGGGGAGTTGGACAGAGACAGTGGCACCGACGAGGCACAGGTAGATACTGGGGGGGGGGGCTACGTCATATATCTGCTTGGTGACAGGGGGGTCTTCATTCTTCTTTAACCGCATCACATATAGTAACGCACTACCTCTACAGGTGTAGCACCAAAGGGTGGGGTTGCCGTGCTTTCCCATGATATGGCCATTGAAGGCCTAATTGGTGGATAACAGTTGTTATACGTTTTTGAATGTTGACGTGTGAAACAACTAACATAAACTTTACATCTTTGAACCAGTCAAGTTAGAGGAAGAATATTGTCCTCTGAGATGCACGTGGGGGAGCAGGGGAGTCATACAGGTGTGTAATGGTCTCCACCTGGACTTTACTGGGCGTTCATGTGGCCTGAGAGAGAAGGAGAACTCTCTTCTCCTACTACCTCTCCTGCTCCCTTTCCTCCGCCCTTCCTCGTCCTCCTCTCTCTCCTCCTGTTATAGTATTGATTTTAGGAGAGGGAAGAATGTTGTGGAAAAAGACACCAACAGGGGCAGAGTGTATATGGCCTGATGCTTGCCATTATACTTGGAGCCCCCCCCACCTGTCTATCCCTGTGTGTGTGTGCGCGCTCGCTGTGCCTGAGGAGGGAGAAACCGAGACTGTTTGCATAATTCTCTTACCTACTCGAGTGCACATTTACATGGCTGTTCTCACGGCCCACTTGTGCTGTCCCACCTGTCAGTCCTGTATCGGCACACCGAGCCAACACCACTGCAGTAAAAAAAAACATTCTTTTTTTTCAAATCTTTCCGTAGATCTTCACGCTCCAGTGACTGACGTTAGATGTTAGTTAGCAGCCACGCACGCACACACTTTGCCATCATCTTTGCTAAGACAGATAAATCCTCCCTGCGCACTTAAATGTACATTTTAGTACACTCAAAGATGATCTTGTAAGCCCCAATCAAACACGGACCGGCAGCATCAGCGTCATGCTTACTGCACAGTTGACAGGCTTTTTTGGCTCTAACTGTTGTGTTGAGGCCACATGTACTTTGTTGTTGTTTTAAATAAAGGACCTTGTTTTATACCTTACTCTTTTTTTATTTTTAGGTCCTACATGCTGTGATTCTGCTAAAAGTCTGGTCAAATGTGACAGTGGAAGTCATGAGACGGATTCCTGCTGAACTAAAGTCACGAGGTCATTCCATATTGATAGTGATGAAATCTTTGGCCTGCATCCTTTGTCCACGGTGCTGGAGAACAAACGGTGCTCACTTCCTCCAGTTATTTAGGCCCCTTAACTTAAGGCCAAACCCGCCCCACATGTTATTCATTTAATGATGGACTTGCTTAGCGTAAAAAGCAGTGCAGGATCGCATTCAATAAAATGGTCCGCTAATCATTCATTACATATAAAAACCGTCAATGAATTATTTACTATCAAACAGCATATCATACTAGCATAACTTTTATCTGAGTTGTTGAGACAAGATATGGTTTGGTATTTCTGCTTGATAACAATCAGTCATTTTCTGGATCGATCGCTGCAGACTTTGTCCAATAACGAGAACCTATTGGATACCTTGAACTAATATTGTTGCCTGACATCACAGAGAGTGGTGGTCTCCTCAGAAACTACCCAGAAGGCCTTGAAAAAGCTCCTACATGCAATGATTCTGCTTCTAGTCCATTGCTGTAGTTTACCTGCAGACCCTCGTTGATAAAAACATCCTCCTGCCGTCACGTGAGATCTGCGCAGCTCGGTGAAGAGTCGTCGGATCCTCTTTTGCCGACTCCTCCCTGAAGTTTCCTTCCCATCTTCCCTTGACCCTATGACATCTTCCACAGAGGTCAAAGTGATGTGGTCAGGAGGTCATTTTCGGCCACGGACGGCAGAGTGTTTGACCTGAGTAAAAGCGAATGCCTCTTTGCAGTGGCCATTACAGCACTCGTGCAACCGTCCGTGTGAGGTTTGCTCGCAGTACAAGCAGACCTAGAGATCAGAGGGGTGATTGGAAGAGACTGTATCCTCCTTGTTTGCATGAGAGATTATATTTCTCACATTGTCCCCCTCCAAGAGCATCAGCCGAGAGACGTCACGCGCCTTTCTGCGTGCATGTTTTAGTCACATGGCCCTGAACATTATGTGAACCACAGTTCATTTTTATGTGTTCCAGGCGTCTGTGATAATCCGAAGCAGGACTTCATCCTACTGTGCAAGTAGCCGTAGCAGTGGGGTGAGGGGCGGGGGGGCTCGATCGGGACTGAGTTTCAGGTCTGTGAGTTTACGGCAGCGATAAGACTGTAGCCTCTGGTGTTTGTGTTTGTATTTGGGAGCGGGGTTTACATCAAACAGAGGTGGTGTTTATAGGTCAACAAACGGATCTGGTTTCTAACAGATGCTGATTGCTTCCCTCCACCATTTGTGTCATTGTGTCGAGTGGCAACTCCTTTACATCATGAGCGGCGTTTAGCCAGTGCACGGGCAACCAGGGATTAAAGCACTCCATTTCTGAGAAGAAACAATTCTTTGCCGTTTTTCTTTTTCCTGATTAGAAGAGTCGCTGCAAAGTACAGATGCTGATAATGTTGTGATACTCGTAAACCTTTTCACAGAAGTTAATGATTTAATAATGTCAGAGAATATTTGTCAGCAAAGCCGATGGAAAAGTAGAGACAATGAGTAAAGCCACATCTTATCCCCTGCGCTGTGATGAGGTTGATAAGTGGTTTGTGGTTCGTTGACCAAATTAAGCCGTATTGTCGATTTAAGTGGAATCTCAGATGAGTGAGTGAATGAATAACAGAGAGTACTGGAAAATGAAGCCCGGGTCAGCTTGCTGACCAACAGGTCAGCTTGCTGGAATGCACGTTTCCATCTGCATGAACCGTCCTCTGCTCAATAAGGGCATTGTCCCTCATCAGCTCGGTTCAGTATTAACCGTAAGCTCAATATTAACGAGTGCAATGTGGTGAATGTTGCCGCTAATTAGTCATTTATTTGAATCTGCATTGGAGAAGTTCCAGTTTCTCCTTTCCAGGCACAATATCTGAACTTGTGTATCCGCCGATAGCGGTTAGATAAAAACCCAAACAATAATTCTAGATGTCATAATTTTACTCTGTTATTGTCATCTATAGGGGTTATTTGAATAGGAACAAATAATTAAGATGTCATTAATTGTGTTTTTATTTCAATTAGTGGTTTGGCTATTACTAACTTTATTCATGCATTTTATGCTTCTTGGAGCTAGTGTTACAAGATTACTTTTGAATCTGCCATACTAAAGATATCTTTGCCTGATTTAAATTGGTAGCGAATAGCGCCTGAACACTGTGTAATGGCCCCAAAAGGGAACCTGTTAGCGTTGGCCGTTAGCTCAGTTATTTAACCAATCAGGACAGTGATTCCCACCGGCCGCTAACCGCTAACGTCAACTAGCTCCCGCAGCCTGGTTGCTTTGTGGTTATTTATTAAGGACTTTGCAAGCTCTCTAAATATCAGCCTGCCACATGAAAGCCAACTAAGAGCTTAGCATGAACTAGCATCCCGGCCGGCGTTCTGTCACCTTCAGCTGTACTGCACACAAGAGTCATCAGTGCACCCCCACCCAACTGCCTCTTTTACAACTCCTAGGAGCTGCTACGAGTGTATAACCATGGAGACGCTTTACCTGGCCCATTGTTTACCTTTTTTGCTACCGTAGAGACTGCCAACACGGCAATTAGCGCTCCGGGCCAGGCCTCAGGTGGCTCCCCTCATCGCTACGGCAACACCTGGGAGAGAGTGAAGGGAGAACGAGCAAGGATGAGGCAAGCCGGATGACCGGTCAGAAGGGAGGGAGGCGGGCAATTGATTTGAGACACAAGTGTCTCACAGGAGTGATGCCTGCCATTGACCTTTTCTCCCAGTGACTGCACTCAGCCCAGTCACATGGTTATGTGTTTTTAGCTATAAATAAATTCCCCGCGGGTGGGGGGGTATCCGATTGGTTGGAGAGGCAAGCGGCCCGCAGCCGCGCTGTGGTGAGCACAGGATGTGGAACCATGGCAATGAATTTCTACCCAATGTTTCTAAAATATTGTGATACTTTTTCGTTTTTTTTAAGCAACTAAAGTCACATGTGAGAGATAAACTGAGGTGTAACTTTTTACGTTACGTTTTGATTTGAAATGTACTTCCTTTGTAAAGTGAATGGAAAATAAACAAATAGATGAAACTTTATGTAAAGTAAGTGGTTGGGGACTTTCCAACCCTACCTCCTAAAATGTATTTTCATACCCTTCTACCACAGGACTTAAACTGTGACACGTTTAGAACGTTTACACCTGTATAATGGTGCTTACACCCATGGCCTCTGTACAGTTTGATGGTTTGTTCACTCTGATTGAATCCAAAATGGCCCCGAACGAAGAAAGACGACACCTCGTCCTCCCCGCCACAAGGAGACCACTCGGGCCGGGGGTCTGATATCAGGACGCTACCACGCCCCTGACCCCCCCCAGTTAGTGTCCCAGTAAAACGCTAACCTCGAGGTTAGGCCGACGGCACTCTTGAAGGTTTAAAGATAGAAATGTGATTTTATGGATGGACCCGGCTCGTAGAGATGAAACGCTGACCCTTTTGTTTTGAGCGGGTGGCGAGCCATCTCACAGCGCACCTTTTTAAAGAATTCTCACACACTCATGTTAGATCTTTCCACACTTAGATGTGGTTTTATTTGAACTTTTATACAGTACCAGTCAAAAGTTTGGACCCACATTTTCATTTTTTTTAGAAAATGCGTCCAAACTAAATATAAAGATCCTTTTGCCGTGATTTTGTGCTTTATTCCAACTGGATGGTTTGTCTTGTTGGTTGTAGCAGCACATCACATTGTGAGGATGTGGTCATTGTTTTATATTAATATGACACCTTTTTTCTCTGCCGTCTGTTTTTGTTCTCTACATTGAATCCTCTAATGCGGCACCTTGTCACAGTACGAGTTGAATAGATTACCAAGGATGTCCCCACGTCTCCCTGAACTTTAGTTCACGACACCCAATGATCACACAG